GGTGACAGGATTAAACTGGCAGAGGGCAGATTTAGATGAGCTCTAAGGCAGAAATTGTTCCCTGTTTTGGGGGTGAGGCGCTGGCCCAGGGTGCCCAGAGCAGCTGTGGGTGCCCCCTCCCTGGAAGGGTTCAAGGCCAGGTTGGACGGGGCTGGGAGCCCCCTGGGCTGGGGGAAGGGGGCCCTGCCCGGGGCAGGGGGGAGCACTGGGGGGGTTTGAGGTCCCTTCCAACCCAAACCATTCTGTGATTCTAAATCCTGCAGAGATGAAAATCAGGTGTATTTTTATGAGACTGTAAGAGAATAAAATTCACATGTGGCTATGGAGCTAGCTTCCCTCCCTGTCCGTGTCCCATCTTCACAGTGATGATGCCTTCAGACCATCACCAATGCAACACCTCAGGTCTTCTCTGAACTTAACAGGATAACATCCTTGAAGGATGGCAAGACTGTGCCTGTCCCAAGGCTTTCTGGAGATGCATCACTCTCCTAACAAGTAAACACAACATTGGCCTGTAGATTCCCTATAAATCAACTTAGTGTCAGCAGGGACTTTGGTAAAAGGTGGGATTTTCAACATTCATCTGTCTCTACTTTTAATACCGGGCATGTGAACTTTAGCTTCATTGTTCAGTTTTATTTTAGATGAGAATAGTCTCTGCAATTTTATGATATTCTTTCTTTATGACTCATGAAGAAGACCAGAAGACGTGAATTTGGTTCTAGTGTTCATTCTGACTTGGCTTTCATCTTAATGTATCTGTGATGTCCGGATGGTTTTTCTGGATGACTCACTTCAGATCTGAAGAAGTGAATTATGATCTCTCCCAGCCCTTACTGAGAGGAACGTGGTGAATCTTTAATGATGACACTCTTCCTCAAGGCTTCTTCAGGTATTTGAATTTAAAAAGTCACGAGAATATTTAAAGAAAGCTAATGTTTTAAACATAATAAAGTATAAATTAATTCCTCCAAGTTGATTTTAACGATATTGTTTATCTGCTAATTTACAGTAGGAATAATGCATCGGAGAAAAAAACCTAAGAAAAAGTTTTAAGTGATGTCAAAGACATTGTATTAGCTGAGTGATTGCTCTGATTCCTGACCCTGCAGCCAAGCCATCCTTGTCCTGTAGCTCCCAGGTCCCAAGTGTGAAATTTGAGCATTTTTGGGTAATGAACAGTGTTGACCTGGGGGCTATAGCAGCCCTGGCTGCCATGGACCTGGGAGGAAGTGTGACTCCCCTTTCAGGTTTCTTAGATGGTGGGTTAAGGATCAGCAAAAGATAATTTTTTTGTAAAGTGGAGTTATTTTCCCCTTTTCATACCAGTGTATTTGTTCTGCAATGCTGTTTTCTGATGTTTTGAGGGAAGCATTGGAGGTTCCTGGAGCCTCCAGAGGAGTTAATTTTGAGGTGACGCTGGTGGCTCAGAGGGGATGGCAGGCCTGACCAGTGTGGAGTTAAGCAGGGCTTGGAGCAGAGCAGAAAAGATCAGAAGTGTGGACTTGCATTTGAAATTTGTCAGCATAAATGAATGAAATATGCAACTTTCATGACAAAAACTGGAGTTGAGGCTGGGGTCAGTGGTCTAGAGTCATTCTAGATCTGCCCAGTGTCACTCTGGGTGTCATCAAACAACCCACACACCCCCACCCCCAGCATGGCAGTCTGTATGTGTCTAGCAAAGACCTGAAACACTGGCAAAATAGCATTATCCACAGACTGTTTTCATGTGTGTCTCAAATTTTGTACCAAACCTCAGCTGGCTACAAACTGGGCTGTCCTGTGCATGCCAAATATTTGCGGTGCGCTGTTTTTCACCAGCACCCTCACCTTTGCAATCTATCTGTGTTTTAGCAAGCTGATTTACAAGTACATCTTTTCTGAATCATTATCTGAGCCGGCTGCCAGTTGGCCGGAGGCAGACATCCAGGCACTCGAGACTGGGAGAATCGGTTCCAGCTGCACTCCGTAATTAGGAAAACCCTGGTCTGTAGCCGGATGTCCAGATGCCTTGCCAAGGAGTGTATCGTTTGGTTCAACAAACAGTATTTGTGAGGGAAAAAATAAAAAGAGTGAAGATGTAATAGGACAAAGTTCATATGCCAGCAATTGCTCCTCTGTTCCTCATCGCATCTCCTGTTTGTAAGCTGGAGGGGTGGGTTATGGTGGGAAAGGAAGATCTGGGGAGGTTAAACAAATCCTTGGGATTTCAACTCGGATAGAAATAAGTTTCTCATACTCCCCACAGAGATGGAAAGTACTTGAAATGCCATTTCTTTCATGCTTTCGCACCAGGGACAAACTGAGCTTTGCATTTTGTTGTGTAACAAGTTACAGTGCAATGTGTTTTGGCAGCAATGAAAATTTGTATGAAAACTCTGTATGTGACACATCTCAGCTAAACCGTTGTGCTTCTTGAAGTGCCTTCATTTCAAACACAGATTCAAGCTCTTTTTAAAAGTTTAGGGGGTTTCTTTGCTTGTTCTATTGACACAAATTAACAAGTGTGAAGCTTCCAAGAATAGATTTAATAATATCATGAAAAATACCACTGCTTTTGCCACCAATGCCATTTAGTCTATCTCAGCAACTAGATTAAATGATTTCCCAAAAGTTTGAGTGTTTTCCAGCAATAGGATTCCCATAGTAACATGACAATGTCATTGCACAGGATATGGTACCAAAGACAGTGCAAAACTCCACTCTAGATGATTTAGCAAAGAAAATACTTATTTTCTCCTCTTCTGCCCACCTCACTTCTACCTGTCTCTCCTGCTCCAGAAACAGCTACTTTTTAAAGTTAAAGAAGCAAGAATTAACCAATCTATTCCAAGGGATCTGTGGGAAATTAGAAGATCCTATTTACCAATTATTTCTAATTACAGGAGGTTACTTTGATAAGAATAACTTACATGTTATATGTAATCTACAGTGTGGACTTTGATAACTTGTTCTTGTTTGACCCTGTAGTACTCAGTCTTTCTCTTGTGCTGAAAATACATTTGCATGAAATTCATGAAAGGCCATCTGGCAAAACACGCCTGTCTGGATCTGATTTATCTCCGGCCAGCCTTCTGGTTTCCCTTGTGCACTAGTTGACATTCAGAAGTTGATGTTCTCCTGTTGTAGTTTTCCAGCTCAATCTGAGAAAGCTGTGGTTTTCTTACTGTAAAGCATTTGGGGAAAATATAGATAACTTAGTTGAAGTTGTCACTTTCATTACGTACAGTATTTTTTAATCAAACTTTTGGATTTCTTGAGGTCTTGCTTTAACTCAATCCAATAATTTTTTCTTTATGCTTCTTTGAAAGCTATTCCCTATTTAGTTGTTTTAAAAAATAAGATAGCATATGTAGCAGCTTTTCATCATGAAGGTATTCACCTGTAATTCACAAGAGTACCAATACACTGAGAATAACCTTTCCATAAGACTCACCCAGCAGTTCTAACTACCCCCCTGCTTGTGGATGCAGGTGGATTTTGTCCTTCAGGAGCAGGACGTCCTTCTCACAGGGTGCCACAACAGGGTGAGAAGCCAGCTCCAAGGGCACCTCGCCTCCGTTTTGTGCCAGCAGTTACTGTGATCCAGTGCTAGATCAGGTTCTTTGCATTTTCACTGATTGCAACTGTGCATTATTCCTTTGCCAAAAAACGTGTAGTGGGCCCTCTGACTATTTTCTGGATTCTCTTTTTTTTCCATACTGTGACTAACGAGTCCAGCTGTTTTCTCTGTTGCTCAGGACTTTCTGTTGCTCAATGACAAAAGCAAAACTCTTTTTTTTTTTTTTTTTTTTCATGCCAGCTATGAATATACATAATGGCACTGGCATCTTGGAGCTGTGCTTGTAAAGTATTAAAATATACCTTAGTATATTTTATTACAGCAGAAGGTTCATCAAGCATCCTGATAGTGTTTTGTGGTTGCTGTTGCATGGTGGGATTCAAGGAGATCTCTTGGTGAGGGATAGACCTGATACCCTTCCTCTTCTACTCCTCAGCTGCACCCAAGGTGATGAATCCATGAAGCCTGCTAAGGTGGATATGCTTTAATGAACACTTTTTAAAGTGGAGCTGATTTATATTCCTTTGTTAATATAATGTTACATGTAAACTAAAATTCTGATTAGTTAAAAATTATCAACTTCTCTGGCAGGCTGTCTAAGTGAAAAAAAAAAAAAAAAAAAGAAAAAATAAAGGTCTTACCAGTGCTGTGACTTGTTGCTATAAAGCGATAACCAGTAATGTCAAGATATTTCAGTCCAGATAGATAGAGAATTTTTGAAAATCAATTTTGGATGTTTATTACAAAATTGAAAGTAACATAATTTCTGGCAAAACTGTGGACAGCAGATGTAATGTATCATTACAATAGCCCAGACTCTGTGTCATATAAAAATTAGCTCTGTATAAAAAGCTGCAGACAGGCTAGTGATCACAGAAAACAAAAAACGACAAAATCTGAGACTGATGTACTGATGTAATAGTTATCACTGAACTAGGAAAGTTATGATGTAATACAATTTGTGGATGTGTTTTAAAATTACTATAGTTCTTTACATGTGAAGGTGACTAAGTTCAAAAGAAATCTTACTCATAGCATCCACCCATCAATGTGCTCATTTGTGCTCCCCGTTCTGCAGACTACACAAAAGTGACATTTGTTGAAATCCACATTTCCCCTTTTCCCCAATTCCTCTACACTCATGCCTGAAGCCATGGAAATCAAAAGCAGAGATATTCAAGCTTTGGAGAAGCCCCAAACACATTGTGAGACTGTCTGCAAACACATCTTTGCAACAGGATCCCAGGGGTGTTTCAAGTGCCTCTCCTGGGAAGAGGGAGAAATAAGATCCCTCTGATAACCAGATCCCTGGGCAATCAGATCATTTACAGTAGCTCTTTCCCTCCTGCATGCACTCCATTTAAAACCACATTTTCTACCTCATCTCCTCCAGGACAATGAAAATAATGTCACTCTCTCTGTGTTTTTTCCCCAGGAGTAACACAAAAGCAATGGGGCATTGACGGTCAGAGGACATGCACAGGCCTACGGCGGGAGAGTGCTGCGGAGAGAAAATCAAGCTCTACCAAGGTAAAATAAATAAATTATGTTTAGATAGCAGTCAGCAGAATGCATTCAGGTTTAAAAAACAATCGCTGAATGCTGAGCAGTATATTTGGACTTGGTTTTGTTTACCTAGGCTTAGCTTATGCAGCAGAAAAGCCAAATAAAACGATGGCTAAGTGCTGTGATTCTGTGTGCACTCGGTGAGGGTGAAAAAACCTGCATGTTTTGTAGGGGAAAAATAGTTGTTAAGAACACTCCAGGAGAATAAATCAAGTGGTATCCCAAATATCAGTACACTCTGTCTCAGATGTTCTCAGGATAAAGCCTGAGGTTTTCAGTTCACCACAATTACTTCATGTGTACTTTTTTTTGCAAGATGCAGCGAAGATTGAAAGCTCCCAATGAGCATAGAGTCAGCTGGTCAAACCTTAAAGTTCCATTTCTTTGCCAAAGATTGGGAGGAGGGAATAATGCATATACTCAAGCAGAAAAAGGAGAAGCAAATTATTTAAAATATTGATGCATGTGTTTGAAGCTAATCAGGAGCATTTTTGACATGCCTTTGGACCCTTGCAGGATGTCTCCATCTGTGCAGCCCTTAACAAAAGAAACAAATGTCAAGTTAACTACTGGAGCATGAGAGATGTATCCAAAATAAAATATTTCAAGGAACATTATTCTTTGGTGCCCTGTAGGAATCTTGGGGAAGTCAAGAGTTTTGGAAGTCATGTATAGGTCTTAAACCTGTAGGTAGAAATAAGTGCAGTGCAGAACATATGAGGCAAATGTTGTTACAAACCATGAAAGAAACAAAGAAGGTAGAAAATGCTTTCCCTGGGGCTGTGAAATTATTGAATTGTCAAAACCACAGGCAGCTGGTTTAAAGAGTTGATAAAATTTACTTGCCATGTCACCTCATTAATAAACTCTTAATCTAGCTCTACCTATTTGGGTTCCCAAATCAGCCTACCTGAGAGTCACAAAGGAGCCCTTTTTTTTTGTTGTTGTTTCCATGCATGGACAACAAGAGAGCAGGAATGGTTTTCCCCATGGGTTTTGGTGCAGTGTCCTGACTCTGGCACCCAAGCTCCGAGAAGGATGACCATGACACCCAGGAGGTCAACAACTCTGTCACTCACGTAGTCTTCCTTGAGGAAGAAGGATATTATGTTTTGTGTACTGCTTGTCAAGTGCTGGCATTGATTATCAGATGATAGACCCCAGATATGACTGAGATGAATTCATAACAAGCAGGATCAGTACAGCAAATGGCACCCAAACCCCGAATGAAGATGGATGAACTTTCATTATGAAGCTAATCCTCAGATTTTGCATGCCAATTCAGTGGGGGTTTTTTCTATTAGGATCACGAGATCTGGGAACACAGAGCAAGAGCAATCTAATCAGCCAATTTACAGCAGCAATGAGATTAGGCCAGGTGCTTTATTGCATGTGACTTCTGTGACCAGCCGTGTGGATAAAAATAGCAGGAGATTTTAAACTCAGGTTTACTCTTTGTTGGTTAGCCTTGATGCAAAAACACCTCCTTTGTCACATGGAGTGAAATAATGGATGGTCTATCAAGATAGATGTTTACTGTCACGGTTGGAAAAATGAATCTGGGCTACTGTCAATCAATCTTGGACATATGGGGTCTTACATCACTGATAGGTGCCACCAAGTAATCATAAGCAAGAAGGAATTAATTAATTAAAATAGTACCTATTATATCACTTTTGTGGGAGGGTTCATGAAGAAGTTTTTCCACACTTATAACTGATGAGGTTGTAGAACAGTCATGATCCTGGTGCCCACATGTCCTCTCCAGCATGTGATGGCACACATGGACTTTCAGGCTAACAAACCATAATATATTTAAATGCATTTTAAATTCCAGCAGACTATCATGAAAGAGCAGTTTAGAGTCTGAAACTGTCAATTGCCTTTGACATGTTGATTTTTAAATAAACGTAGCAGCCACCAGCTGCTACAGTAGGTTAAATACTGAAAAAAATATTATAGAATACGCATTTTTAATTTTAACACTTTATTTCACCAGAGTGATACGGTTTTCATTTAAGTCTCCCAAAAAATTCAGAGCCGATTTCAAGAGTGTGTGTCTTTAAGTGACAAAAAAGTTAGTATGAATAGAAAGTTAACAAGAAATCTCAAACAAAGCTGTCTCGTGTGATAAATAGTAGATGAGAAACAGTTGCGTATACTGTGATGTAGTATGTTGATAATCTGAATCTTCATTTTCAGGAATCTCTGCCATCACAAAATACAACATTGATTTCACCGATAGTCATTTCACAGATGACTGATGAGAATAAATCAAAAGAAAATTGGGCCGCTTTGCCTATGCAGCCCACGATCCTCCAGCCCCGTGCTTACCACACGAAGCAATCTTTGGCTAAGCATGGTTCAGTCAGCATTAACAGAGCATTTATGATACTTCCCAGCAGATTGGAAATTCAGGAATCTCTAGATGACATCACATCTCCATCGGACTCTCCCACTGCAGCAGAAAAACAGTGTCAAAACCAGCAGAAAGGGTTTGCCTCCATAACTGTTACAGCCAGGCGTGTTGCTGTGGGCTCCAGTGACCCAGCACGTGGACCTGGGGCTGTGCAAGAGCCCAACGCCGTGTCCTCCACCCTGAGCAAAGTCCCCGCTGCCTTCTGTCGTTGGCCTCCACCAGGCCACACAAACCAACATGCTTCTCCATTAAAGATTTCTGAATCTTGCTCACAGTTAGGTGAAGAGCCACAGAAGCGGCTTTTTGACCCTGGAAACAAGGAGAACAGCATGGGTCTTCAAAGCAGTGATGGGAGAAAGAAAGTACCACCGTCATTCATCTCGTGTGTCCACCTTCAGGTTTCTCAGCAGTGTCCAAATACCATCTATTATTTAGATAAGTCACTCAATCTGTGCATTGACCAACCTCAAATTAAATGCCAAAAAATTCATAGATCAACATTGTCCTTCAATATAAATTGCAGTTTGTCTAGATTAACAGTAGATGGAGTAGATGGCATAGCTAATGGAAAGCCAATAGAGGAGATATTTCAAACAAAGCTCCTAGGAGAAAACAAGACTCCACTCAGATCAAACTTGAGTGCAGACTTAACAGAAAATAATGTAATTAATAAAGAGAAAACAAATGAAGACTATCTGGGTAGTAAATACCCTTTGAAAAATGTTTTTGTCTCTGAACTTCCAGCATTTGTGGATATACCCAGAGGACCTAATAACATAGTAACAACAAAGAAAGGTGATGATAAGCAGTCTGGCAGATATCACACTACATTTCCTCTCCAGCTTCCTAATTCAAGTGACAAGGCAGGTAAGTAATTTCCATAAGCCTCAGTCTGGTGGAGCAGAGGTTCAGGCTGGAACAGACCCACCACAATGATTTTATGGGAGCAGATAATAGTAATCCTTGCTTCTGCAAAGGCACGGTGAGTCAGAGCACAGCCCAGACATTTTCAGTTCCAGGATTACCATGAATATGTTTGCCATGATAGCGATGCATTCTGCTCATCGGATGATAGAGAAAACTCTGATGGGTTTTCTGCATTAAATTTCTATTTTAAAACATTTATAACTGTAATTTTATTTTTTTTTTTTTTCCCCAGCAACATGCAAGTGCTTAGCCCCTGAAAATGATTAGATCTTTCCTTGTATAAGAGCTGAATTTCAAGGTGTTTGATTAAGGAGATAGCTACACTGAGCTTGATGTTGTGATCCTTGCAATTAAAAAATGATCTTGTTTTCAGCTTTTTTTTACAAGCCCAGGCTTTTATAACTAATGGATCCAGGTAAATGCTTTGCAAATCTTGAACACATTTGTTTCAAACATTTCCAAGCATTTCACAAACATAAAATTTTCTTCGCAACACTGCTCTCGGGGAAGGGAAAGGTACCGTGGGGATTGCTTCATGCCCAGAGTGGTATAGCTTCTGCTGCACTGGGTTGTAGCAGCTATTTTACAGTGCACTTGAATAACCACAGCTGAGTTTATTGACTCTCCAGGAAGGGAGTGTGGATGGGAAGAATGTCAATGAGTGAGTCTGGTTTTTACCAAAAGCACTAAGGTTAAAACTTACCCCCCATGTATCCTGTGACCTTGGGCTATATTTAATTGCAATTACTCTGTTCTTAGACAGCTTTTTTGATCTAAGGGTCAGTATATGAACATAAGCTATTTCCTAAGATTCATTTGTACCTTCATCTTTCCAGTGTGCAAATGGGAAAAAAAAAAAAAAAAAAAAAAAAAAAAGAAAGAGGAGAAGCTGCATGCTGTCTCATGGGCTGGACAAGGTACAAAATCAGGGCTGCACCATCCCCTTGCACCTTGCTGTTATTGCTGCACTCACCCTCCTGTGCCTGCAGACGGTGGGACTGTTCCTGCAGTTATCGAGGTGCAAACAGTGAGAAGACACTGCTTTATTCAGAGGCCTCTTGCTTTAACTTTTAAGAAAATTACCCACAGAGCCAGGATTTTCCACAGAGAGACCAGCAGTGTCAGTAATTGCAGAGTCAGGCCCTTAAATGAAAGCTGCGTGGGTTCACAGGGTGAAGCACCCCTCAGGCTGGCTGCTGAAGAAAACCTGAGATAAAATATTTCTTTATGTTTATAAGTGTAATGCTGGTTGTTGTTGAAGAGGAGATGGCACAGTGGGGAGCAGGATGTCAACCAGTGCTAAAGGGTTGAAGGCAGAAATGTAAAGGGGTGAGAGTTGAAGAGGACCTTCCACTGGCTGACACCAACAAATGAAGCATTTCAGCTTTAGACTTCATTGAAAACCATCTTAATTTCAAATAACAATGTCCTCCTGAAGTTTCCGTAGGAAGTATTATGTATTCAGGGCTTTGTTCAGCACCATCTAAGGTCTCTCCATGATATACTACAGAAACAAGGATTAGAATAATATTTAGCCTTCCCTGGGATTGGTGATACAGTGGTGGCCATGAAACTTTTACTAGAAGTAATTAGAAAGTGAAATAGGACACTGCTCATAGTTCCACAGTTTTACTGAAAAGAGGAAATAAGTGAGGTAACCGGCTGAGAAATACTGGTTTTTGAAAAATGACTTCCACCATTTGTGTACACAAGAATACAGGTGTAAATAAACATGGGAAGCGTTACCTTTTTAACTGCTTCCACCTTTTGTGTAAGCAATAATGTAGAATGTAAAGATATGTATTTCTCTTGATCAGACCCTTTGTAATATATAAGAAGGTGTTTATCAGCTTATTACAACTTTCCTGTGTGAAATGTGTGTAAACAGCCAGAATAATGTTTCAGAACAACAGTCTTTCTCACCAGGATCCCCAAAGTAATGAAGTCTTGCATAGCCGTCAGCCGTTAAAGGTGACAAATCATAAGAAACCTAGTTAAATGCATGAGACATCTTCACCGCTCATTAAAATGAAAGGCTATTGGTATGATTTTAACCTGGGAGAAAATGAAAATGTGAGTTCCCTTTTGTTTCAAAAATGGGCGAAGTGAGGGAGACGTAATCTCTTAGGTCCAATACTCTGTTCTGGAGAAATCTGGTATGGTCCTACAGCCTGTTATGTTTTTTTTTCCTGGACTAGTTTTAAATACCTAAAGAAATCTATAATGGAACACTGTTGCCTTCCTCCTTTTTGCTGTGGCACTTCTGTATATACAGACGAATATTACAAGATCTATATTGCAAGATGCTGTTTTACCAGCACGGCGAAATAACTACCCCATCAGCTACCCCATCCTTTATAGCAATTCCCAAATCAATTTATACAGATTCCGAATTCTTTTAGGTTTTATTTCCTCCAATGTTTACTAGCTTGAGTCTATTCATGTTAAGCTTTGGTCTGTTATGTGTTTATGTAATGAAATGTTTGTGAAAGTAAATGTTTTAGAAGAAGGAAGAACTCGCAAAGAAGGGGCAGTGAACAATTTTTGACACCGTGTTAATACTTTAACATAGTTATCTTATGGCTTAAGGAACTGTGGAGAGTGCTTTGTCCATCACATTTCTGATGACCCAGAAAGTTTGAGTTTATATTAGTTTGCAGCTGTAGGCAATACCTTCCTGCCAGCAGAAGTACAAGTGGTAATAACATCACCATGGCAAAAAAAAAAAAAAAAAAAAAAAAAAGAAAAATTACTTTCAAGGCTAGACTTTTCTCTATGAAATCTGTAAATGTAGTTTCCAGGATGTATAGGCTGCTTTATTAGGACCTGAAGTGGAATGAGCACCCAAATACTTCTCTGCTTTACTGGTACTGGGGCCAGGTTTGCTGTTTCCTAAAGGGCTGCTTGAGTCATGGCCCCTTTGGAGTGTCTTTTTTTTTAATCTTTCATGTGGCTTCACTAAAGTAATGATCACTCTACTTATAATATTACTCATATTATTTCATGTTCAAATCCAAGTATTCAAGACTTGGCTTTACATGGACCTGGATAACCTAATCTAAGGCCCTGCTTTCAGCAGGAGGTTGGTCCAGATAATCTCCGGAGGTATATATTTCCACAGTGTGCCACATATGAAAAGGATATTTTAAGAATATTAATGAAATGTAAATCTTGGGCTATGCTCATGGATGGTAATTATACTTAGAAACCCAAATCTCTCAGACTCAGTTAGCACTCAAAGACGTGTTTCATGCAATAGCATCCCAAGGATGGAATATGATCTTGTGATTTCACTGCTATGGACTGTATCTTCTACTGACTCTGTTGCTTTGGGTACTTTATTTCCATTCCCTGTCAAGAAATTGGACTGTAAGTGCTGGAAAATCCATGTTACACGTGAAGTCAGACTTGAACTGCTGGAGGACATAAAGTCATAGGATAATTGTGTCTATTTTTAATGAGTGGCCAGCATTTAAATCCCCTGAGCACCTTAAGGAATGTCTACCCGTTAATTTTGAAATGGCCCACTGAGATCCACATGACCCACCTCAGAGATATGACCAAGGGCCAGGATCCATGAGGTCCTTGCCACAGGTGATCAATGTGCATCACCCTGCCTTTGGTCATGGCTTTTAACAAGCTGTCAGAACTTGCTAACACTGCTTTTAAGTGAATGCTGCAATTTCCTTTACTGTCTGTAGCTGATGTCTCATAAAGACAAGGTAAGTTAAAAATGAAGAGATCAGTCTTGTTTCTGTGGAAGACAGGAGAATTTTCAATCTTAATTTCTCACCTACTTTCTATGAAAAATATATTCCACATGAATATCTAGTTTTCCATCTTCTACGATCTAATACCTACTGGGGGTCTATGCTGAATTATTAAAAAGGGGCAAAGAGAAGAAAATGGGACAACTTTAAATACATTTTGACTTCTTGATTAAACAATATCATCATTTTACTATGAAAGATTATAAATTCCAACATCTAAATTTATCTTTTTAAGCTTAGATAATCATCAATGCCTTGATTCCTGAGCACCTTCACAAACCTCATCTATGTTATAAACAGAAATAATTTCTGCTAACACTTCAACTTTTATAACATCTACGCTTTTGTTTTTCTTTCGTTGTCATGCCCAAAACTGCTGTGCAGAGTTATTAAGGAAGAACAGCTGAGGTGGAGAGAAATGTAAATCCGGTTTGGATGGTAGGTGCTGTGCTGGCTCCAGCAGGCCTGCGTTGAGATACAGGGGATGTGGAAGATGCTCAAGGAGGGTGGGGGGGAGATGAGAAAAAGGCATTGCATGAATCACACTCCTATGTAAACCACCCAAAAGTAGGGAAATCAGGATTATGAGGTAAGCGTGAGTCAGCAGTGGAAGGTGAATATGACACGATGATGATGATGATGGTTGTGACTACGGGCATGAACGTGGGCGGCAGTAACCGTGGGCACCAGGAGCCGGCACCGGCACGGGGCTGTCCGGGAGGGGCTGTGCTGCCTGTGTCCCTGCTCCTGCAAAATTCAGAAATGAAGCACTGGAGAAGGGGGAGAACACCTTTAAATCAGTGAACAAGACAGATCTGAAAGCTGGTATTGTAGTTGCTTGTACTTTTTCCTAAAGAGATCAGCAAGCGACTTGAAAGCATAATTTACTTAATTAAAACAACCCAAGACAGTGAATAGGGAAAACTGAGATGGGATCTGTGCTTTTGGGGTGTTGAATGGCACCAGATGATTATAGGCTTCTGTTTCCTTCTTAAACAAGAGTTTTATTAACAAGTGCTGAAGCCAGCAGCATGTTTTCCAAGGAGTAGATAACTAGACTTTAATTTGTTTCAAGAGCTATTTTTATTTTTTTTTTTTCTGTAATGGGCATGTCTGTCTCTCTCTCTATATGTATTTGTACTGGAGTAAAATCAGAACAGCTGAAGCTAG